AAGAGAGAGAGAGAGAGAGAGAGAGAGAGAGAGAGAGAGAGAAAGAAAGAAAGAAAGAAAGAAAGAAAGAAAGAAAGAAAGAAAGAAAGAAAGAAAGAAAGAAAGAAAGAAAGCAAGCCAGCTGGGCTGGAGAGATGGCTCAGCGGTAAGGACTGCTCTTCCAGAGGACTGTGGTTCAAATCCCAACACCCACCCACATGGCAGCTCACACCTGTCTGTAACTCCCGTTCAAAGGGATCCAACACCCTTACACAGACATATATGCAGGCAAAACACCAATGCATAAAAGATAAAAATAAATTATGTATATATAAAACCCCAGTACTTTGTACAATGAATATGTCAATTAAAATACAACAAAACCAAAAAATGTAGCCAGCTACATAGTGAGACGGCATATCAAAATTTAAAAATTAAAATTTCTGGGTTTTTTGTTGTTGTTGCTGCTTTTTTTTGTTTGTTTGTTTGATTTTGTTTTTGAGATAGGGTTTCCCTGTGGGATGGTCTGGCTGCCTGGAACTCACTCTGTAGAACAGGCTGGCCTCGAACTCACAGATCTTCCTGCCTCTGCCTCCCTAGTGCTGGGATTAAAAGTGTGCCCCACCACAACCCGGCTAAAATAAAATATCTAAAAAGGGAAAAAAAACTCTGTTTTGAGGTTGGAGAGACGGTTCAGTGGTTAAGAACACAGCTGCTCTCCTGGAGGACCCGAGTTTGAGTTCTAGTAGTCACATGACTGCTCACAACCGGTTGTAACTCCAGATCCAGGGGATCCTACACCCTCTTCTGGCCTCTGTGGGTGACTTTGCATGCATGTGGTCAAAAAAGCATATGTGCAAGCACAACAAAACAAAAATATACAAATAAATCTAAAAGAAAAACCCGTATGTGTCTGGCAACCATGCCCTTAATCCTAGCAACTCAGGAGGGAGAAGCAGGAAGTTCAGGGATTTCAGGACAGCCATGACTACACAGTGAGAACCTGTATAAATATAATATAGGTATCAATATAAATAGATAGATAAACAAACTGTGTGTATATATGTGTGTGTGTATTAAACTGATCAAAACACATATTGCTAACTTCTTCAACTTTCTTGAAAAAGCATCATATCTTTAGTACCAGTACTTTATTTTCTGTTTAATTTTTTTGAGACTTTATTTTTATTTCATGTGTATAGATGTCTTTCTGGCATACATTTCTGTGCAGTGCCCAAAGAGGCCAGAAGAGGGCAACAGACCCTCCGTAACTGGAACTGGAGGAACCAGTGGATTATAAGCTGCCACATGAATGCTGAGAACCAAACCCAGGTCAACTGGAAGAACAGCCAGGCTCTTAACTGCTGGGCTTTGTTTTCATCCCTGTGGCACCAGTACTTTCAAAAGTAAAGCCCAGAGCAGGGTGGCGGCGTCTGCTTGACATCCTAGCACTTGGGAAAATGAGGAAGGAGGATTGACGCAAATCTGAGGGCAGCCTGGGCTATACAGTTTGAGGCTAGCATAAGCTAAGAGTGGGACCCTGTTTTAAGAATTAAAAAGGGGAGGAGGACTGGAGAAATGGTTCAGCAGTTAAGAACATTGGCTGCTCTTCCAAAGATCTTGGGTTCAATTCCCAGCTCCCACATGGCAGCTTACAAAAAAAAAAAAGAAAAAGAAAAATCTAGTTCCAGGGGATATAACACCCTCACACAGACATATATTCAGGCAAAAACATCAGTCTATACTCATAACATAAAAACAAACTATTAAAAAAAATAAAAAAAAACCCAACTACCAACAACAACAAAAAGAGGTCAACTTTTGTCAGGGAAAATGGTGGTGAACACCTGTAATCCCAGAGATAGAAGCAGGAAGCTTAGGAATTTCTCAGTTTCAAGTGAATTTGATGCCACTTGGGACCACACGAGACCCTGTCTCGGAAAAAAATTACTAAAATTATCAAGGCACACATTTCTAAACCATACAACTTTGGATGAAAGAATATCATGTGAATAACACTGCATAAAACATTAAATAGTAGTCTTTTCTGTGAAAAAGTGTAAAACTAAAAGTTTTGTTTAGGACAAGGAATCCAATCTTTTTATCTCCCCCACCTTTAACAAACCTTTATCCGAATGTTCTCAGCCCTCTACACACTCACACACATAGTTCCGGTTGCATTTTTGGGGATGTAAGTGAATTGAGTAGTGATTTCTTACCAATCTTCTTCATTTCCTTAGCACCTTCTTTTAATCTTTAAAGATATTTATTTATTATGCATACAGTGTTCTGCCTGCATATATGCCTGTGTGCTGGAAGAGGGCACCAGATCTCATTATAGATGGTTGTGAACCACCATGATGTTGATGGGAGTTGAACTGAGGTCCTCTGGAAGAGCAGCAAGTGCTCTTAATCTCTGAGCCATCTCTCCAGCCCCTTCTTAGCACCTTTTTAATAATAACTTTTTAGATTTATTTTGTGTATGAGTGTTTTGCCTGAATGTATGTATGTATATATGCCGTATGTATGCCTGGTGATAGGTTTTTGGTTTTTTTTTTTTTTTTTTGTATCCTGATAATAGGTTTCTCTGTCAACACAGTAAGCCAGATCAAGCTGAATTTTATTAGGTTTATTTATCAGATTTATTAGGCCAGGCACTCTTGGGTGACTTTCTAGCACCCCCAGAAGCAATGCCAGGTGGGGGTTGGGGAGAGGAGGAGCAGTCCAGAGGCAGAGACTTAAATACCCTATAGGTGTGGTCTTGAAGTTTAGGAGAGGAGCCTAGACTTTTGGTGGTCTTTCTGAGGGGGTGGGGTCTGGAGAGGGAGGAATGGACCTGAGGTAGTTTCCAGATGAACACCTGGTACTACAGAGGTCAGAAAAGGGCATCAGATACCCCTGGATGGGATGTTTATGAAACACCATGTAGGTGCTGGGAATTGAATCCAGGTCATCTACAAGAGCAACAAGTGCTCTTAACCTCTCAAACACTGAGCCAACTCTATCGCCCCAACTTTGCACCTTTAAAAAAAACCCAGACAATGGGGAAAAAAACACACAGTCACAACATGTGTTAGGATAAAAACTGAGTAAACTCCCTGTCCCCTGTGTGCTTGCTGTGGCGATGTCAAGCATCTCAGAGGTGCTGCTTAACAAAGATCACAGGGCTCTGATGACTTGGACTGACCTTTCACTGACCTGGGTAGGCTTCTGCACAACTCTTGCTTATGTGTTCGACATGTTTGGTGATTGAATTCCCATCGCCCGGCTACAAAGCAAGATCTTTATTGAATTGGGCAGCAAACGCTGACCAGCCAGGAACAACAGTACAGACTCGGAAACGGATTGCACCCCCAAATGTTCGTTTCATCAAGTATTTAAGCAGAAAAGCCACAAACATCTGTGCCAAGTTACAGGTACATTTTCCCACCAGTCAGGATTCAGGGACTGTTCTGTGCTACACTTACCTTGCTCTCATTGGTTGGTTCACTCAAATGTGCAGGGGCAGCAGGGAGTGGGCGTGGCTTGTCTCTTAAAGTGACCAACAATCATAACATCCCTGCCTGGGATCAACAACTACTCAGGGACTGGCAGCCATCTCTGCCTGGGACTGGCTGCTCCCAGGGCCCGCAGCTACATGGACGGCTACCACTGCTTGGGGGCCTACAGCATTTCTGCTACCTCCTGCTGCTGGGGATCCTGCAGCATTTTTATTTTTTCCATTACAATATAGTGCACACTTTTTCTCTTTAGACCCATATCTTGAGCATTGTTTCTGAGTCACAGAACCCATCTTTTTGTTTTTTGTTTTTTGGTTTTTTGTTTGTTTGTTTGTTTGTTGTAACACCTGATTCTGTGTTACCCTCTCAGTACAGTTTGCGAGCTGGACAAGGGCCTAGAGATGGAAAGAACACACAAGAGACCTGGGTCATTAGAGAGGAGATCAGCTGAATGCCGTTTATTCAACTTTGGGGAAATCCTTAAATACCTAGCTGCTGCACAAAGACTTACCCCCAGGAAGATGGGAAATTCCCTCACTCAAGATAGAGTAAACAATGCACCACAGGGAGCACAAAAACAAACAATGTTTTAGTTGGCTGACCAGAAACTGTCAAGTAACCCCAGGATCAGGAGCAGACCCAGGCCCTACAGTTTGTTTGTTTGTTTGTTTTGGTCTTTTGAGACAGGATTTCTTTGTGTAGTCCTGGCTGTCCTGGAACTCACTCTGTAGACCAGGCTGACCTCAAACTCAAGAAATCCACTTGTCTCTGCCTCCTTAATGCTGGGATTAAAGGTGTTGTAATGGAAAAATTAAAAATGCTGCAGGATCCCCTGCAGTGGCAGGAGGCAGCAGAAATGCTGTAGGCCCCCAAGCAGTGGTAGCAGGCGATGTGGCAGCAGGCAGCGGGCCCTGGGAACAGCCAATCCCAGGCAGAGACGGCTGCCGGTCCCCGAGTGGTGGCTGGTCCCAGGCAAGGAGACACATGGTGGGCAGGTAAGAGACAGAGCATGAATAGGCACACCATGCAGAGTGAGATTGAATATTTATTCAGAGGGTTATGGGGGGAGAAGGGGAGAAGAGCAGAGGGGAAGCAGAGGAGTGGGGAAAGAGGCAGAAGCGAAGCTGCCTCTCCAAGAGGAAGATGGAAAAGAGAGCGAGCTCAGGCTGGAAGCTGAAGATCAGCCTGCCTCAGCAGATGGGGTAGGGAGTGGGCGTGGCTTGTCTCTTAAAAGGACACAACAATCATTACAACTACCACCTGGCTAAAATTTTAAACAGCTAATTAACCTACATAGACAGTTTTTCTTGAGGAATTCTCATTCACACGAGCTCCCTCTGCTTGAGAGGAATCAAGTCTAAGGCTAGTTCTTAGGTAAATGCCTGGGGGTTGGATAGCTTAAAAGCACAGACACTGTCCCCAGTGCCCAGTGTGACACAGTCCTTGGTTGCTCAGGCAGGCCTGCAAGGGGTCTTTGTTGTGAGCCTCTATGGGTAACAAAGCACCTTATCTGGTCACACCCTGATGTAGAATGCAGGGGTGTGGTGGCTCAAAGCACATTTGGGTCCTCCTAACCTTGGCTCCTAGGAAGACATTCTGAGTACCAAGATCCCAAACTGAGTCTAATCTACAAGTTCAGAACACAAACATTCATGTCTTAAAGACCACAGTGGTCTTCAAGGAGGGAAGCCCTCTGGCCACACAAACTACTAAGCTTCACACAAGAGAAGGGCATATCACATATTTAGAGTTCACAGTGGGGTGGGAGCAGGCTCCAAATTCAGCTGGGCTATATGGAATGTCTCAGTCCTGCACCAAAAGACACTTGACTTTAGCTTGAGGGCCTAGCAAATACATGTTTTTAACAGCTAAATTGTCACAGCTTGCAAACACATATATAATTATTAGTCTTTGGGAGGCCAGACCCAAGTTTAGAAACAGCACTTAATAGGCAGAAGTTTCTGCCCTGCCAGCTGCTCCCAAGCAACCACACAGAAACATATTAATTATAAATGTTTGGCTAATAGTTTCAGGTTATTACCAACTAACTCTTACATTATAAATTAACTCATATTTTTTATCTATGCTTTGCCATGTGGCTTAGTACCTTCTCTCAGTACTGCATGCCCATCTTGTTTCTCTCTGTGTCTGCTCACAACTCCCAGACTCCACCCTTCTTCCCAGCATTCTTAGTTTGACTCTCCTGCCTAACCTCTACCTGTCCAGCTATTGGCCAGTCAGCTTCTTTAGTAAACAAATCACAGTGACATATATTCACGCAGTGTAAAGGAATATTCCACAAACACTTCCAAGCTTGTCATGTTCATTGTTTCCTCTATGTCCATGCTCAGGAACATCAATGGCCTTAAATCCAGTGAGCTTCGGGAATGCCATATGTTTACTCATTAGAACTTTGTAGTGTATTGGAGGCTGAAAAAAAACATAAAACAAATCAATAATGTGGGCTGTCTTTCTGTCTATGTGTTGCTTTCATTGGTTAATGAATAAAGCTTTTTTGGCCAATGGCTTAGCAGAGTAAAGCCAGGTGGGAAGTTTGAACAGAGATATGGAGAGAAAACAGGTGGAATCAGAAAGATGCCATGTAGCTGCCAAAGGAAAAGGACCTGGAACCTTCCCAGTAAGCCACAGCCTTGTGGTAATACACAGATGAATAGAAATGGCCAATGACTCAGGCATATTTCTGGCTAGCTCTTATATCGTGAAGGTGTAATTAATATAGTTTCTGTGTGATTGACTACTCGGGTCTGGGTGGCCAGAAAATGAATGAGCAGCCTCTGCTTACAAGTATGTGCCAATGTGAGGCAACTGCATCCACATAAAAACTGAGAGAGCTTGGGAAGGAATTCTAGACACAAAAGAACAAAGCTAAGCACAGTTTCTTGGTAGCTGCATTTTTTTCAGGTAGACTCTGTTTGTTGGCAGCAAGCAAAGGCACAGCTCCTTTAAGAGAAGTCTTCCTGACTCAGCAGCAAAAATTGAACAGCTTCTTTAAGATCTGGCTTCCTGATTTGTGCTGGGAGAAAGAACTCTGTCTCTCTTTCGGGAGGTCCTGTACTTAAATGGGGTCTGTGAGCAGTATGTTACAAATTGCTTAATGTTACAAATTGCTGCATCCCTGGAGCTGGGATGGTGTGCATGACTCACAGAGGCAGTAAATATGCCTCCGCCATATTGGACTGGGTGGAACAAACAGGCAGGGCTACGAAGTTGGTCCTAGTCACGTCTGCTTAGCTTCTAAGAAAAAAAGCTCTCCTGGTGAGAAAATGATTACAGATATGTAATAAAAATGAATACAGATATGTCAAATTCAGATGACAAAGACCTCTGAATGGGTCACAGTGTTGGATAAATGTGTGTAGGCTTGGGAGAGAGAAGAAAAAGAGTATAGACAGCTATAAAAAGAAATAGTTTTAAAAATAAAACGAAGTCTTTAAAGAGACAGTAAAAGTAATATAAAAGAGTACAGCCATAGATTAAAGAAGTGAAGAAAAATAAGCCATGTAAAGATGGAATATACATAGAGAATCTGAATTAAGCATACCAGGTTCCCCTAATTCCACAATGGCCCCCTCTGTCAAGATATCTCTTTCACTGCTCTCCCTCTCCATCCCTGCCCCAACTGGACAGACCATTTGCTTCCTTCATGTTCCCATCCCCCCATTCTCCTCCTCTCTACCCCACCCCCATCCCCAGTTTACCCAGGAGATCTCATCTATTTCCCCTTTCCAGGCCAATCCATGTGTCCCTCTTAGGGTTCAGGCAGTCTTTTATAAAAACAAGACATCTCCCTTTGATTTTCTGTGCTACAGTTTCTACTTAGTGTCAAAACCACAAGAACTTCAATCTCTTTCCAGCTCAGACTTCAGCTCAGATAAAGAGGACACAGATACCATCTAAATAAACCCCAGGATGCAGGGTGCCCACACCTCCCTGGCCTTCTGCTTTGCTACTCTAACAAGAGCTAAACACTCAGCAATGGGTCACCGCCATGAATTTTTAGTAAGGGAATGCAGGCATAGAAGCCACAGAGCCTGGGAAACTGGTGTTGAAGGTGGAGGAAAGAGGTCAGGAACTCTTGGTCAGGCTCAGTGTTAAGAAACACTCACTGGGGGGGGGGGGGGGCTGGAGAGATGGCTCAGAGGTTAAGAGCACTGATTGCTCTTCCAGAGGTCTTGAGTTCAATTCCCAGCAACCACATGGTGGCTCACAACCATCTGTAATGAGATCTGGAGCCCTCTTCTGGCCTGCAGGCATGAAGGCTGAACACTGTGTACATAATAAATAAATAAACCTTAAAAAAAAAAAAAAAAGAAAGAAAGAAACACTCTCTTGCTGGTCTTCCAGGGAACCTAGGTTTAGTTCCCAGCATCCACAGGATGGCTCAGTAACTCCAGTTCCAAGGGATCTAGCACCCTCTTCTGACCTCCACAGACACTGCATATATATGTATATGTATGTATGCATGTATGTAACATACACATACATATGTACAGGGAGAAAAACTTATGCACATACTTTTAAAAAATGATCTATTTATTACATATACAGTGTTCTGTCTGCATGCATACCTGCAGGCGCCAGATCTCATTACAGATAGTTGTGAACCAGGGTGTGGTTGGTGGAATTGAACTCAGGACCTCTGGAAGAAAAGCCAGTGCTCTTACTTAACCTCTGAGCCATCTCTCCAGACCCCATGCACATACTTCATACTTTTAAAAAATCTTTTTTAAATTTCAGAGTCATTTTCATCTAAATAGCAAGTGTGAGGCTAGCCTGGGCTATAAGAGATTCTGACATCCCCTCAAAAAAAAAAAAAACCCAAAGAATTCCCATCACACTACTTACAGAGCTGAATCACCTCTTCTGAAGCATGTGGTAAACGTAGACGCCCTGGTGCAGTGGAAGAAGAAGGGAATGGAAGAAGAAATGTCTTGAATGCATATCAAATTTATACTGGTGTTTCCAGAACCTGGCAACACCTCTGAACCTCTGGCTTGGGAGGGGATTTCAGAAGCCCCTTTAGCCTTTCTATCCCTCTGTCCCCTGTTCCAGGCTGGGACACCCTGGAAGGTGCTCCCTGCCAACATGACCCCTTAACCTGAGATGTTACTTTTGGCACTACTTGGGGCTGTCTGCAGTGAGAAAATTAGACCCTTGCCAAGCACACTGCCTCTTCTGAGACTGAACTGATGACTCAGAGGTTAAGAATGAATACCGCTCTCGCAGAAGACCCCAGTTTGGTTTCTAATACCTATGCCAGGCAGCTCATAACCACCTGTAATTCCAGCTCCAGGGCATCTCATGCTTTGGTTTCTGGACACCTACCTATACATATGTGGTGTGTGAATTCATGCATGCATGCACACACACATGAACACAGCTGCACATGACTATTTCTCATGGATATACAGACTGCTTTCACTACCTCTTTTTCTTTCTTTCTTTCTTTCTTTCTTTCTTTCTTTCTTTCTTTCTTTCTCTTTTTCTTTTTTTCTCTTTTTTTTTTGTTTTGCTTTTTTCGAGACAGGGTTTCTCTGTACCTTTTGGAGCCTGTCCTGGCACTTGCTCTGTAGACCAGGCTGGCCTCAGACTCACAGATTCACCTGCCTCTGCTTCCCAAATGCTGAGATTAAAGGCATGCGCCACCACTGCCTGGCATTCACTCACCTCTTTTATAAAACCTGGTGGTGATGAAAAGATCTATGATCTTGATGACAGCAGCTATGATGACCATGACAGCAGCTGTGATAATTACAGCTTTCTCAGCTCCAGACAGGCAGAGACAGCGACAGCTTGGCATTCCTGGAATGGGACAGAAAGCTGCTGAGGCAGAGCTGAGCATAACCATCTTTAGTGGAGTGACAAACCACAGAAGCTGCTTTCTGTTCAGGCTCAGAGGCCATGGATCTTGCTAAGCTCCTTGGAAGGAGCAAAGGGTGACCTCACCAGAACAGCGATAAGTGGCTCTACTCCCCAAAGACTACTCAGACCATTCAGGAGTCTTGGCCTTGTGCTTTGTGAAATCACAGCCCAGGGAGAGCCAGGATGCAGATACATGGGGGAAGGAACAGGCTAGAGGGAACTGTGGACCCCAGGCTCTGTCAGCAACTTCATGAATGACTGAAGGTTAAGGAAGCCAGTCTCTCTCGCATATCTCAATCTAAAGGCTTTCTTAGTCTCAGATAAAATCTTTCTATTTATTACTTATTTATTGCTTTTTATTAAGCATCCTTCTAAAATTGTTACTCATTATTTATTTACCTTATTTTAAATGTTTAACTATTTTTATATATAGGTATTTGTCTACAGGTATGTCTGTGCACTGTGTGCATGCAGTGCATTTGGAGGCCAGAAGAGGGCACTAGATCCCTTAGAATGGAGTTACAGATGGTTGTGGGCTCCCATGTCGAGGCTGGGAATGGAACTTTGGTCTTCTGCAGCAGCAACAAGTACTCTTAGCCAATGAGTCATCTCTCCAGCTCCTACTTATTCATTTTTTGATACAGGATCTTGCCATGTAGCCCAGACTGGCCTTCAATTCACAGCGATCCTCTTGCCTCAATAGCATATGTGATGAAGTTACATACCTGTGCTGTAACACTTCGATTTTTTTATTTTATTATTATTAAATTGCATTTTATTATATTTATATGCTTATGTGTGTGTCTACATGTGTGTGTGCATGTTGCACTCATGTGCATAACACACATACATGCAGAGGTCAGAGGAGGACATCATATGTCTTGCTCTGTTACTCTCTGCCTTACTTATACCTTGAAACAGGGTCTCTCTGCCTCAACCTGCAGCTAGACTGACAACCAGTGAACCCCAGAGATGGAAGCTTTTACCCACTGAGTTCCCTAGCCCCACTTTTAAAACAAATAAACAGTTTAATGGCATGTGTGGAGGTCAGATGATAACTTTTTTTTCGGTTTGTTCTCTCCATTCATCTTTATGTGGGTTTCAGGTTCTAGGGATTGGACCCAGGTTGCCCGGCCCAAATGGCAAGTGCTTTTATCTTCTGAGACTTCGTGTCAGCCCCTCCTTGCAGGATTTTTTTTATGTGTGTGTTTTGCCTGTATGTATATATGTGCACCATGTGTGTGCCTAGTGCACAAAGAGGTCGCAAGAGGGCATCTAATGGTTGTGAGCCACCACGTAGGTGCTGGGATTGAACCCAGGTTCCCTGCAAGAGCAAGTGCTCTGAATCCCAGACCCATATCTCCAACCCCCTCCTGCTTGTAGTTTTGAATGAAAACTTTCTTTAGGAGTTAGGGAGGTGGCTTGGTTGGTAAGGTTCAGGCCACACATGTGAGCATCTGGGTTTGTATCTGCAGCACCCACACAGTGCACATCTGCACCTCAGCACTGGAGTGGGAGAGTAGAGACAGGCAGATCCTTGGAGCTCATTGTCTAAGCCAATCTGGTCAAATTGGTAAGCTCCAAGTTCAGTGAGAGGCATAAAGTGGAGGGGCTGGAGAGTTGGCTCCGTGGCTGACGGCACAAGCTACTCTTCCCAAGAACCCAACACAACCCCTTCTAATTCCAGCTCCAGAGGACCCAACATCCTCTTTCAGCTTCAGCGGGCACCTACTCACACAGCACATTACATTGTGTGTACATACATATGTTAAAAACAAATCTTATAAAAGGGAGAGCAATGGAAGAAGACAATGTCAGCTTCTGACCTTCACACACAGGTGCACACATGTGAACATATTTACACATACATAAACACACTAACACATGCATAAATACACAAAAAAAAACTTTCTGTGGAAGTGGACAAGCTGAGTTTGAAAGGTAAAGCAACACATCACAGCTCTCAGAGGTGTTCAGACTACATTATAGAAGGAGGAAAAAAAAAAAAGAAGGAGGAAAGAGGGTTTGAGCCCTCGGACATCAGGACCTGCTGTGAAAACAGTTGGTGACAGATACACAGATAGAAGGCCAGGACTCACAAGGACCTTGGTTTGAGACTGAAGTACCAGGAGGGGTCGCTGCAGCTCGACTCTGGGATTCTGTTCACTGACTAAGACAAGATTCTTACATTTTGGGTTGTGAGCCTAACCTGTAAAGACTGACCCATTCTCTAGCCCAAAGACAGGATTCTTGACCTGCAGCCCCCAAGCAAAATTCAGCCCATGGCTTGCTTTTGTAAAGTTTTATTGGCACATGGCCAAACACAGTCATTTGTTCTTAATCTCTGGCTATTTTCCCTACTGTGGTAGAGGTCCCCCCCCCCCCCCGAGACAGGGTTTCTCTGTAGCTTTGGTGCCTGTCCCGGAACTAGCTCTTGTAGACCAGGCTGGCCTGGAACTCCCAGAGATCCGCCTGCCTCTGCCTCCCTAGTGCTGGGATTAAAGGTGTGCGCCATCACCGCCCGGCCGTGGTAGAGTTTAATAGTAACTATAAATACCAACGTCACCATCTCAGCTGTTTCAGCTTAGGTTTCTATTGCTTTGGTAAAACACCATAACCAAAAGCAATTTGGGGGCATCATCCTCTGCGGGCTGAGCCCCCCACATCAATCACTAATTAACAAAATGCTCTATAGGACTGCCTACAGGCCAATCTGGTGGGAGATCATTTTCTCAATCGAGATTCTCTTTTCCTATCCCTCTAGTCTGTGCTAAGTTGGCATAAAAAACTAGCCAGTACACCAGTGAACATTTTTTTGGAGGAGGTATTTGATTCAGGGGTTCTCTGTGTAGCCTTGGCTGTCCTAGAACTGGCTCCATAGACCAGGCTGGACTTGAACTCAGAGATCTGCCTGCCTCTGCCCCCGAGTGCTGGGATTAAAGGTATGCACCACCACCGCCCAGTCCGTGAACATTTTTAATGAGAGTTTAGGAGACAGCTTCTTACCTGACCCTGAATCCAACGTGTCACACAGTGTGTCCATTGTGGCGTTACAATGCCTGATGACTCTGCCGTTCGGACATCTGGAAGGAAAGTGGAGGAGTGTGTTACTTCCCACCTAGGCAGCCCAGATTCTCCTCACTATGCACTACCCACAGGGCTAAGAAGGACCAGCCCCATCCCAGCATGGCCTGCTACACCTTGTCATTCCGGCAAAAGCACTCTGAAGAGATTAGAGTTTAGGGGTGCCTGTTATATTTAGGGAAGGGCCCTCTGCCCTCCTGGATAGAACGTCCTGCTATGAAGACCTGATATGCTGTCCCTCCACATAGAGAGAAGTTTGCCTAGAGGCAAAGACAGTGTGAGCAGGGAAGGGGCAAACATGTACAGACCATCAAGAGCCTGCATCAGACTGGAGTTGAAGGCAGTCTTTACTCACATAGTTCAGTGTTTTCTGAGTTATGTTTACGGGTACGTAACCTGCCTCCCAGATGCCAGTTGTTGCCTGGTGTGGTGGGAAGCAGATGCAGGGTAGGTTCTTGTGAGTTCAAACCAGTCTGCAGTCTGGTCTACATAGTGAGTTCCAGGCTACCCAGGGAGACCCAGTTTGAAAGGTGTGTGTGTGTGTGTGTGTGTGTTTGTGTGTGTGTAGAGATGGCTCGGTGGTTAAGAGCATTTGCTGCTCTTCTAGAGAAAGTAGGTTCTAGTCCCAGCATCCACACAGTGACTCACAACCACCTACAACTATTGTTCCAGGGAATCCACTATCCTCTATGGACCTCCATGGGCATCAGACATGCAGGCAAACATTATGCACATAATAAACAAATAACAGATTTAAGCTATTATACAAGAGGCCTTATAAGTTGCTATAGATACCTCCCAAAAATGTCCTCCCAAGCTCACGTGTGCCTGAAGCCTTGGAACTTCACCTTGTTTGGAACAAGGTCTTTGCAAATGATGCTAAGTGAAATCGGAGTCACACTGGGTTAGGATGGGTCTTAACCACGTGATTAGGGTCACTTGATTGCAAGAGGGAAACAGAGACAAATGCAAGATCTACATGGAGAGGGAGGTGGCAACTAGAGTGACGTGTCCATCAGCAATCGCTGCCACCACCAGAAGCTACAAGAGGCCAGAGAGGAGGCTCCCAGAGCAGTGGTTCTCAACCTGGGGGTCTCAATCCCTTTCACATGGGTTATATATTAGATATCTTGCTTATCAGATATTTACATTTTGATTCATAACAGTAGCAAAATTACAGTTATGAAGTAGCAGCAAAATAATTTAATGGTTAGGGATCACTGCAACATGAGGAACTTTATTAAAGGGTCACAGAATTAGGAAGGTTGAGAAGCACTGACCTAGAGTCTTCAGAGGGAGTGAGAACCTGTGAACACCTTTGATGTTGGACTTCTTGACTCCAGAACCAAACAAGAAAAACTTTCTGTTTTCATTCCCTGCTTATGGTCATTGGTAGGTGGCCACCAGATTTTTTTTTTACTTTTTTTTTTTTAAAGGCAGAATTTCACATAGTCCAGGCTAGCCTCAAACTCATTATCAACCAAAGATGACCTCAAACTTCTGGTATCCTGCCTCCACAAGCACTGGGATTATAGACATCATACCTGGTATATGCGGTGCTAGAGATTGAGTCCAAGGTTTTGTGTGTGCTATAAAAGCACTCTACCCACTGAGCTACGTTCCTGGTTCCACTGAATTCATTTCTAAAGTTTATTTTATGTTTAGATGTACGTGCATGTGCATGTGAGAGCAGATGCCCACGAGACCAGCAGAGGGCATCCAATTCCCTAGCGCTGGAGTTACTGGCTATTATGGGACCCCTGAGGTGGGTGCAGTGACCTGAACTCAGTTCCTTAGGAAAGCAGATCATCATACCCCTGAGCCATCTCTCTAGCTCTCCTTCCCCATTCTAAATTAACAGTAAGTCACTTTTGTCATCCTCTCTGCCTAGAGTTCTTTCCAGCCCCCCCCCCCCCGGGACTTTCTGTGATTTCATCTCTCCCTGATTCATTGAGCCTCTACCCAAAAGTAATCTTTTGACTTTTCCAACTGAGTGTGCAGTGGCCCCCAGGGTCATGAACTCACTCATCACCAGTAGTGTTTTTTTCAGACACTATCTCTATCCCAAACTGACCTTAAACTTGCTGTGTAGTTAACCTTGATCCTCCTGCCTCTATTTTCCCAGTGCCAGGATCACAGGCTACACCACCAGACCCAGTTTATGCAGTTCTGGAGGTGGAACTCAGGGCAAACCCTCTACCAACATAACTTCATCTCCAGTCCATATTAGTGGTCTTATGCTATGTATGTATCTCCATTGTGTGTCTCTCACTGTTGGGGCTCAAGGGTTGTTTGCTGAGTGAGTTAATGAGTGAGTGAATGAATGAATGAGCACTGACTCCAGGCAGCTTCCAGGAGGAAGCATCTTTTGTTTGAGTTCATCTGTGTGGCAGGCGCTACCCTAAGGAGCCCCTCTACAGTAAGACTCAGAGGCTAGGGGACTAGAGGCCAGGAGTGGGGATCTATCCTCATTGTCCCTCCCCCAGCTGGTACCTGCTGCATGGAAGGCACTTCTCCACACAGTTTTCAGAGTTACAGTAGGTTCCCTGCTTACACCGGCACTCACGATCAGCCGTCTGGGAACATTCGGCCACCTCCTCTTGGTCTGTGGAAACAGGGTGGCTGTAGGTCAGTCATCAGGGTGGGAGTCTGTCCCAGAGTACAACGTTCTACCACGCAGTTAGGTCGTCCTCCCAGGCTCTTCATCCTAGGCACATAAATGCCTTCACCTTGTCATGTAACACAGGGACCGCACAAACACAAAAACCTGCCTCCCTTTTCTTCCTTCCACAGAGTTTCAAACTGGACAGCAGAGGAATGGGAGGAGTACCCAGCCCCAAAGCTTCCCTTCAAGGAAAGGGTCTACCATGGAACAGTGCTCCCAGCCCTAAGAGGGGGAGGAGGGGGAAAAAAAAGCCCATTGGGCCTTTGTGTCAGGTAAAGAGTGTGAAGAAGCCAGAGTTGGCCTTCTTCGTTACCGGCCTGTGGCTCCTCTCCCTATCAGTCTGCCTGCTTTAACTATCAGCGGCGAGGCTGCCCTCACGGCCGCAGCTGCACACTTACCATCCCGGCACTGAGAGCATGGAAAGCAGTTAAGCTCATGGTTATTGTACTTCATGAAGTATCCAGCTTCACATGGGACACATTCGCTTTTACCGTGGTCCCCCTGGCATGGCTTGAGGACGTAGGTGCCTATGTGAGAGGAGAAAGAGGTGTTTGGGGGCCTAGCAAAGCCCTGGTCCCCAAAGCCCTGCCCTCCTTGGAACTTTCTAGTTGGATACCCAACCACAGTCTTCATACTAACTTAATGTGTGGAGGCCCTGCGTTAGTTCTTGGCTGAGACTGATGTCCTGCTGGGTTTCCGAGAAAGCGCATTCTCCTGCTCCACTCCACAGTCCTAGAGAGCTGGCTTAGAAAGAGGCCTATGCATCCATTTCCCCCTCTCATGCCAGGTTGCTGCCATGATGGTTGCACAGAACTCCAAAGTCTAAAGATGGGATCCTTGGCCAAGGTCCCCACCACATTAGTTACACTGTGACCATCTTCTCAGCCTATGGCAGAAGCACAGGAAAGACAGCTACACACTTAGCAGTATGAGCTCTGGGCATGCGCTGGCTCCCATAGTTAGATCAGTTAGATCAGTCCCATCTCACTATTTCTGCAATATGCTTGTAGGGATGCCCCCCCCCCCGCCACGGCTATGTACCCGCAAGTGTGTACAGGTGTGTGTACAGACCCAAATGGGTGTCCACAGACCTGTGTGGATATAAGTGCATGCGTAGGTGTGTTTGCAAGTAGGTATGAATGTTGTGGAATAATTTTTTTGTACACTGTGAAGATTTGTCACTTGGATTGGTTTAATAAAAAGCTGAGCGGCCAATAGCTAGGCAGGATTTTTGGGACAGAGAGGGTGCTGGGAAGTAGAAGGGCAGAGATGTGGGACGAGGCAGCCAGAGGCAGAACGAGTTGGACACACAGCGTGGGATAGAGGTAAAAGCCACATGGTAGAACGTAGATTAACAAGTATGAGAAGTCTTTCTACAGTTTATTTGGGAGCCGGCTGGCAGGACAGAGAAAGACTAGTTACAGATGCATGCTGGTAGTTGTGTGGGAGGGGGGCGGGGTCCAGGGGCAGACACAGCATCTCCTTGCTCTTCTGTAGAACATGCCATGCCCACCTCTGGACAGGCACAGTCTCTGGTTTCTGTCCTCCAAAGCCAGGGGCAGTTGCTTGGGTAGGGGAGGGGTGGATGGGAGGACAAGGAGCAGCTGGTTGCTAAGATGACACCCACTTCCTGTTTTCAGTCCGATTCCACTTCTCTCTGTGCAGTCTCCAGTTCAGCCCTAGCTAAAGGCCTACAGTACCTTTTCCCATCAGAAGACTGGCCTTGTGGACCGTTCTAGAAAGCATTCTGGAACTCACCAGCAGGACATAATTGGCAGCAGAAGGTATCGGATTGGAATTCATCTTCCCCACACTGGCTTGGACTGCTTACACTGTAAACTGTTGCCTAGAATCAGAAAGGGGAAACACAAAGAGACCCATCCATTGGTGACTCTCAGCACAGAAGAGGTAGAGACTTTGGCTCCCATATGGACCCTTGTGCAGCACAAACACTATAATTTTGCTCAAGTCTCCATAAGTCTGGTTGGTAGTAGTCAGGGATCCAGATATGTTCTTCAGTTTCCAAATTCAGGTGGCTTTGCATCTCTGCCATTGGTTTGTGGCCTGTATGGCTGTGAGCCTTTGGTGTCAGTGAATTGCTTATTCTAACATGTGTTGTTTTCAGTGGCCATACCTACACTTTAAAGGTTCTCTCTCTCTCTTTTTTTTTCTTTTTGGTTTTTCAAGACAGGGTTTCTCTGTAGCTTTGAAGCCTGTCCTGGAACTAGCTCTTGTAGACCAGGCTGGTCTCGAACTCACAGAGATCCGCCTGCCTCTGCCTCCCAAGTGCTGGGATTAAAGGCGTGCGCCACCATCGCCCAGCTTTAAAGGTTCTCTTATTCACTTATGCGTGCTTTGCCTGTGTGTATACATGAATATCAAGGCCAGCCTTGTCTACAAAGTAAGTTCCCTGTTTCGAAAAACCAAAATAAAATAAAATAAAATAAAAAAATGGGTCACTACACAGGGCTGTTAAGTCACCTGACCAGTACTCCCAGCTGAGGGCAAGCAAGGAACTTCTTTTCGTTCTTGCTTCCTCTCTCCCTGCACGGTGTGTCTATCTTTCAGGCCTTGCATCACCTACCTTTGTTTTTTTATCTCTTGTAGCACTCACATTGCTTAACTTGCTGTTTAAAATGGCCCCAAGCATAGCAGTGAGAAGTTGTTTCCTGTCCAGAATACTAGAATGTCAGAATAACTTGACAGATAACACCTACATTGGAGAAACTGCTACAGGTGTGAATTACAGTCTGAAGAGCTTGAATTTTATATTAGCCAACACAGATTACATAGATGCCTTTAAGTAAACACATAAAATAATCTACTGATCAGTTTATGAAAGTGTGGTCAGAGGCATGCAAGAAACAAGCCTCTGGGGCTAGGAGCTGACTCAGTCAGTACCTGCATCAAAGCATGAGGACCTGAGTTCGGATCCCTAGCATTCACCTGGGCCCGTAGAGCATGTCTAACTCCAGCACTGAGGATGGAGACAGGCAGATCCCTGAAGCCCATTGGAAGCCAAGCATAGATTAGCTCTAGGTTCACTGAAAGACCTGTCTCCCTGGCTGTAGTGATGGCTCAGCAGTTAAGAGCACTGGTTGCTCTTCCAGAGGACCGGGGTTCCATTCCCAGCACCTACATGGTGGCTCACAACCATCCATATTCAAGTTACAGGAGATCCAACATCCTCTTCTGACCTCTGTGGGCACCAAGAACACATACGATACATATAAACTCACTCATGCACACATAAAAATAATTTTTTTGTTTTGTTTTTCGAGACAGGGTTTCTCTGTGGTTTTGGATCCTGTCCCGGAACTAGCTCTTGTAGACCAGGCTGGTCTCAAACTCACAGAGATCTGCCTGCCTCTGCCTTTCGAGTGCTGGGATTAAAAGCGTGAGCCACCACCGCCCGGCAAAAATAAAATATTTTTAATCTTAAAGTTTATTTATTTTATGCATATGAATATTTTGACTAAATGTGTGTGCCACATGTATGCCTGGTACCTGTGAAAGTCTCCAGATATCGAAAAAAATTTTTGTGGGGTTTTTCAAGACAGGGTTTCTTTGTGGAAAAGCCAAGGCTATCCTGGAATGTGCTCTGTAGATCAGGCTGGCCTCAGACTCTCAGAGTTGCCCCTGCTTCTGTCTTCTGAGTAGTGAGGTTAAAGGTATGAGCCACCACACTGATTTATTTATTTATTTATTTATTTATTTAAAAAATGATGAGGGCTTGGTGATGCATGGCTTTAATCAGAAGGCAGGCAGACTTTTGGGGGTTTTGGGTATCCAGAACTACATAGTAAGACTCTATGTCAAAAACAACATTTAAAATTTTTTCACTTTCTATATGAGCATCTGCCTACATACATGTATGTGCGCTATGTGTATGCAGTGCCTGCTGAGGCCAGAAGATCCTTTGAAATTGTAGTTAAGGACTGTTTTGCGCTTCCACATGGGTTCTGGGAACTGAGCCTGGGTCCTCTGCAAGAACAGTCAGTGCAGATGTGTCCAATTACGACTTTGCTGTACGTATCATCTAATAAGCTTTAAAAAGAACAGCGAATACTATCAGCCACTGTGCCACCTCTCCAGGCCCCAGGATATCCCAAACCTGCCATTCTCTGTTCTCGGCTTCCCAAGTGCCATGATTACAGTCAAGAACCACCACAAGCAGCTTCCTTTTCTTAAAAATACCACGCTGCTAGATCTCTTTCCCCTCTGCTCGTGTATAAGTGTGGGTACACACAGGCCACGTGTACGTGTGACAGACAGTCAGAGGACAATCTCACAGCTCAGTCATGGCCTTCTAGCTTGTTTGAGACAGGATCACTCCTACACTTAACTGCTGAACACAACAGACTTGTTGGCCCATGAGCTCTAGGGAGTCTCCTCTGCCCGCCATCTCCCTGTAGGAGTGCTGGGATTACAGATGCACGTGCCAAGGCATCTGGTGTTTACCAGGGCTTGGGGGGATCTGAACTCTGGTTGCCATGTTTGCATGACAAGAGATCTAACCACTGAGCAATCTCCTCATCGCCCGAATTTTTTTCTTTCTAATTCAATCCGATAATCAACAAACTCTTATAACCGATTTGTCTACAGTGGATGCTACTAGGCTCAGTCCCATTCCTATCATCTTATTTTGCACATTTCTATCTGTGCTCGTTAATGCTGATGTCAACCTGACAGAATCTAGAATCACCATGGAGACAACCCTCTGGGCATGGCTGTGAGGGAGTTTCTAGATTAGATGGTTGAGGGAAGAAGGCCCAGAATGCAGAGGGCATCATCCCATAGCCTGGGGTCCCAGACTGAAAAAAAAAGATGGAATCTGGCTGAGTACCAGCGTTCATCCCTCTCTGCTTCCTGACGGTGGAATCAGTGTGATCAGCTGCCCCATGTTCCTACCACCAAGCCTTCCCTGCTATGGACGGTGATTTTAAACTGTGAGGCAAAACAAACTCTTTTATCCTTAAGTTAGTTAAAATGGTTGTGTGTGTGTGTGTGTGCGGTGCCCAAGGAGGCCAGAAGAGGTCATTAGATCCTCTGAAACCAGAGGCACAGGAGATTATGAGCTACCTGACATGGGTGCTAAGCATTAAACTCAGGTCCTCTATAAGAGCAGAATTTGTTCCTAACTGCTGAGTCATCACTCCAGCACATGCTAAAGATAATTTTGAGCTTCTGATCCTCCTGCCTCCACTGCCAGGGTTCTGGGCTTGCAGCTGTGAGCTACTGATATGGGATTCCCCTCTGTATGCTGTGAATACCATTGGTTAATAAAGGATTGCTTTGGACCTATAGCAGGGCAGGAATTAGTTAGGTGGGGAAAACTAAACTGAATGCTGAAAGAAGGAGGCGGGGTCCAAGAGAAGTCATGGAGACACTGCCAGGATAGACACACTGAAACTTTGCTGGTAGGCCAGGCCTCGTGGTGATGGACAGATTAATGGAGATGGGTTAAATTAAGATATAAGGGTTAGCAAATAAGAAGCTAGAGCTAATGGGCCAAGCAGTGATTTAAATAATAGTTTCTGTGTGGTTATTTCAGGAGTCTGGGCAGCCAGGAATCAACAAGTGGCCTCCTTACAACAAACTACCATCCCTTGTTTATGGGGGATGTATGCTTACTGAACAGGCACTCTACCAACAGAGCCATAGTCCCAGCTTATTTTCCTCAGTACTTGAAATTAAACCCAGGACCTCATATATGTTAGGTAAACAGTCTACCACTGAGTTACATGCCTGGTCATTTTTGTATTTTTTATTTAGAGATAGAATCTCATTAAATGTCCAGACTGGGGATGGAGAGATGGCTCAGCGGTTAAGAGCATTGCCTGCTCTTCCAAAGGTCCTGAGTTCAATTCCCAGCAACCACATGGTGGCTCACAACCATCTGTAATGAGGTCTGGTGCCCTCTTCTGGCCTTCAGGCATACACACAGAATATTGTATAGATAATAAGTAAATAAATATTAAAAAATAATAATAATTAAAAAAAATGTCCAGACTGGCCTTGAACTCATTCTGTAACCCAGGCAAGACTTGAACTTGCAGTCCTCCTGCCTTCTCCTGAGTAGCTATGGTTACAAGACTGTGCATCAGATCTGTATTTAGTTGCTTTTGTTTTTGAGACAGGATCTTGGTAAGTTGCCCACGTGGCTTAGTGAGTGTTCTATTGCTGTGAAGAGACACCATAAGCAACTCTTAAAAATAAAAACATTTGGCAATCTTACCAAAAGCAATCTACAGATTCAACACAATGCCTAGCAAAATCCCAGCAAAATTCTTCACAGACCTCAAAAGAATGGTACTCAACTTCATATGGAAAAAAAAAAAACAGGATAGCCAAAATAATCCTGTGCAATAAAATAACTTCTGGAGGCATCACAATCCCTGACTTCAAACTCTACTACAGAGCTACAGTACTGAAAACAGCCTTATATTGGCATAAGAACAGACAGGAGGACCAATAGAACCAAATAAAAGACCTGGATATCAATCCACACATCTTCAAACACCTGATTTTTGACAAGGAAGCAAAAAATATCAAATGGAAAAAAGAAAGCACATTTAACAAGTGGTGCTAGCATAATTGGATATCAACATGTAGAAGAATGAAAATAGACCCATATCTATCTCCATGCACAAAACTCAAGTCCAAATGGATCAAAGACCTCAACATAAAGCCAGCCACACTGAACTTTATCGAAGAGAACGTGGGAAGTACACTAGAACACATTGGCACAGGGAACCACTTCCTAAATATAACCCCAGCAACACAGACACTGAGAGAAACAATTAATCAATGGGACCTTCTGAAAATGAAAAGCTTCTGTAATGC